GGAAATTCTTTCATGTTCGATGTTCAGCTCATGTTTTAAATTTTATTGTTCAAAGAGGTTTAAAAGAAGTTCATGAAAGTGTTGAAAAATTGCGTGAGGTTGTTAAATATATTGATGCTTCTGATTCTAGATTAACTCAATTTGAGAATGCTTTGTCTGAGTTAGACTCTGTTTTTAATGGCAAGTTATGTCTTGATGTTGTGACTCGTTGGAATGCCACTTATACAATGCTCCGAAAAGCCTTAGAAGCTAAGGATGCCTTGATTCTATATACTAGTAGGTTTTTGGGTATTTCTTATAGACTTGATGCTGATGAATGGGATACCATTCAAAAATTTGTGATTTCCTTCGGCCATTTAATGATATAACTGTGTTATTTTCTGGTACCGAATATCCCACTTCTAATTTGTATTTTAATAGTGTTTTAAAAATTGAGTACGCTATTACTCAAGCCTTTAAAGACCCTAAACTTGCACCCATGGCAGCAGTTATGCTTGAGAAGTTTGAGAGTTATTGGGAGGATTATAGTTTGATACTTTCAGTTGCTATTGCTCTTGATCCTCGTTATAAGTTGTTTCGAGTGAGACATATGTTGAACTCGTTGTATAATGATGAGGCATGCGACGCAAAGATTATGATGATTAAGGAAGCTTTTTATGACCTTTATAAATTTTATTCTACTGCATCTAATACAAGCTGCAGAAATCCTGCCTCTTCAAACACAGCTCAATCTGAAAATTCTAATCGCACGTTGAGATCTCAAAATATTTTCACGGTATTTATGTTATACAATATACTCAATATTAATGGTAGTCTTATATTTTTATTTGTAATGTCATAATTTAACTTTTATAATAAAAAATCTGTTTCAGTTGCGTGAGGTTGATGACGAATGTGATGATTCAACTAGATGCCCTCTGGCTGATCTTGAGGCATATTTGAATGGACCTCGTTCGCGATTAATTCAAGGGGAACATTTTGATGTTCTCAAGTATGGGGAATCTCAAGCTTCTTCTCTTCCTATTTTAGCTAATATGGCAAGGGATGTTTTGGCCATTCCTATTACATCGGTGGCCTCTGAATCTTCTTTTAGTTTGGGTGGTCGTATTTTGAACAAATATAGGGGTAAACTTTTGCCAAAGAATGTTGAGGCATTGGTTACCACCCAAAATTGGTGCTGTGGTTATCAAGCGGATGTTGAGGAAGACGTCCTCCTTATTGGTAAAGAGATTGAAGCCGAAAGTGCTTCATCTGCATAACTGGTATTTGTGTCTCATTGTGGTTTATTTTATCTTGAAAAATCGTTGCCCTTGTCTTTTATTTTCAGACTTGCTGGCAGCATTTTTCAAGACTTTTAAAATCGTTGCCCTTGTCATTTATTTTCAGACTTGCTGGCAGCATTTTTCACGACTTTTAAAATCGTTGCCCTTGTCATTTATGTTGAGACTTAAATAGTTAAATGTATTTTGGTACTTGCTGGCAGCATTTCTCAAGTTTTTGTTAAAACAACCATTGCTCAGTGATGTAAATCTGAGAGCAATTTTAAAAAACAAAAGCTATAATTTTGAAGTTGCTTGAACTTGTTATGAGCTGCTGCCTGCTGGTAGTGCTTTTGCCTTTTGGTTGATGTCTCTGCTGAGTTGTTGCTGCTGCTGTTTTGTTGTTGCTGTTTCTTATGCTTGCTGCTGTTTTGTTGCTGCTGTTTCTTATGCTTGCTGTTTTAATTTTTCTTGAATCATCGTTGCCCTTGTCATTTATGTTGAGACTTCAATGTATATGTACTTGCTTGCAGCATTTTTCAAGTTTTAAGTTAAAACAACCATTGCTCAGTGATGATACGATAAACGTAAATCTGAGAGCAATTTTGAAAAACAAAAATAAGTTCCTGCTGAGTCCCTTCTGCTTATTGTTCCTTGCTTCTGATAAGTTGTTGATCTGTTATTGCGTAAGCTGGTTCCTGCTTGTTGTTGCTATTTCCTCTGCTCTTGGGTGTTGTGCTGCTGCTTCAAGATTCTGCTGCCTTTTGTTTTTAAGATATAGTAGTATACTAGTATGTTAGCTTTCCTTTTACCGTCTGTTAGGGGTGTAAAATTTTTGATCATGTAAAGGAAGGGAAAGTTTCCCATTTTCTTCTACCATAAATTTCAAATCTAGACATCTAGTTATTCTCATGCAGTTTTATAAACATTTTAGTCCTCCCCCTTTACAAAATACTTGTATAAGAAAGTTTTATAAAGTGATAATGTGAATGATTGTACATTTGTACGCCTTATTGACTAGTACAGTAATATTCTAATGCTTATGCCACTTGTGTAACGCAATCTCATACATCTCCAATCTTATGTTACCTTTGAGTGTTATTGGATGATCATGAATATCTTTATGAAGGAACAATGAAGATAATTTGGGTGGACTAGCATTATTACTGGAATGAAAATGGTACAAATGATATATCTTGTAATTAAAATAAATAAGTAATCTAAAACGATATTAATAATGTCGTTGGACTAGATCTAGGTGATATAAACCTTTGTATAAACCTAAGCCGTTTGATTAGATCTACATTTATTAACATTAATTGTATTTACTATTTAGCCATTTAGGTTGTAAATAATTCAATTTGAATTAAGCAGTTTGTAATCGGATCAGTTTAAACAGGTTGCGATTCGAAAACAGTTCGATTTTAACGGTTTAACGGGTTATGGAAGTTCAGTTTAGACGGTTAGCGGATTATAACGGTTCGGTTTATATAGTTTTTCCAGCGGTTTAAACGGTTTCGGTTCATAAACGGGTCGGTTTAAACGGTTAGCGGGTTACAAATGGTTCGATTTAAACGGTTTTTTTTACGGTTTAAACGGTTTCGGTTTATAAACGGTTCGGGTCATTAACGGGTTTATAAACCATTCGGTTCGGTTTTGTTTCGGTTCGGATTTGAGCAGTTTGGTTTGTTATCGGTTTACGGTCCGTAACGGGTTGACATTGAGCAGTTCGATTCGGTTTCGGTTTGATATTGAACGGTTCAGTTCGGTTTTCAGTTTAAATTTATCGGTTTATATACGGATCGGTCCGTGATGGTTCGGTTCGGTAACGGCCGGTTTCACGGTTCGGTTTGAAAAGTCCCACCCCTACCTGGGAAAACTTACTCTTTCTCTTTTGCAGGCTAACGGGCGTCTTGAAGAGGATAACTTTCAGCTACCCGAATTATCCCAATGTACTTCTTTTTGTGACTAAAAAACTTATGTTCCGTAAACAAGCTAGTTAGCCTAGATAGGATAGAGCATGCCATAAGCAATATCCCCGATAAACAATATTCTAAAATGGTATAGATGTCAACTAGGTTAGTCGCATAAAATTGCAAAAGATGTTACCCGTCAATTGTGATCAATTTTCATTTACATTATTACTACTTGTGCCTTTAAATTTTTTTTTTTTTAAGTTGATACTAAGGCGTTAAACAGGTTCATCTTATGGTGTATACCTCAACCCATCTGCGTACATTCGGAGTCTATACCCCAGTCGGTCGGCATACATTCGAAAACATTTAAGTATGGTTCATGGTGCAAAAGTTGTTTGATAAATCCCATCCACTTAATTCGAAATAGAGGTATTATTATGCAGCATCATTTTTCTATATATTTCCCTTAGACAAGTACCTTCCATGAGTAATTGAATGACATTCAATTATAGCAAAGAAAGTAGTGGCACTTCATTTTAACCTAATTTTTGGACAAGATATTTAATGACAACCTTTACTCTGACAAATTCAAAACTATTTTCATGTGGCATTTATCGTCCATCTACCACACTACCACCCTCATTCCATAGAACATTTGCACACTCTATAAACCTTATTCATTTGATCACACTCCAATTTTTTTGTCAAACAATGAAATAATGAATTAAGGGTTGGTAATACACTAATACTCCTTCCGGTTCAAGAAGTGGATATAAATTAAGTTATGTAAGTTAGGTTATATGATTATTTTTAGGAAATTAAAAAGACAGAGTTTAATAGTAAAATAATTTAGACTTCGTTCACTTCACCTTATTTTTGTTGAACTGAAATTAATTTTACTAAACTTAAATTATTTTTGCTGAATTTAAATTATTTTTACTGAACTAAAATTAATTTTGCTGAACTGATTTTTTTTTTTTACTGATTCTCTATAATATTTCTTATTTAGAGTTACTGATTTTTACTGAACTGAAATTATTTTTACTAAATTGAAATTAATTTTACTTAACTGAACTTATTTTTGTTGAACTGAAATTATTTTTACTGAATTGAAATTATTTTTACTGAATATTATTTTTTTTAAGGTGAATTGAACAAGACCTTAGTATATTTCGGACAAAAAGATGAATAACTAAAAGTAAAGCACCAATCTTAAACAAAAAGTAGGAAGTAAATCGTGGAATGACAAAATATGTAGTTCTTCCTGACTTCCTCTGTCCCAGAATATAATGCTTAAAATTTTCCTCAATATTTACGAAAAACAGTCATACGATATATTATTATATTCATTTCAATTTATAGTTTTGTAATATCAATACTTTTAATTAATAATTTTTATTGATACAAAATTAATTAAAAATATTAATGATCAAATATACATATTCACAATCATACAAATGAAAACCTGCCCTACAGAAGGAGTGTGTTACAGTGTACTTATCCAATAATAGGTCGTCGGTGAAGTTGACTAAACAAATAAGGAAGCAATATCAATGTATATCATCCAGTTCCTAGATTTTGACTTACTTAAATTAGTATAACATGTCATTTATTGTTCCTACAATAATCCCAACGGTTCTACGCGTACCTCACCAATAGCAATTAATATCCCTAATACAGTATTTTAGCCAATTGTTACACCCTATATATAACACACTTTCTTCACTCTTATGATAAAAATATAAAACTCTGAGCTCAGATAAAAAGGGGTTCACAGTTTTACACATAATTTTCCACGAAAAGTGTTGTATTTTAATTAAAGTCAATGGGTTTTCCTACAAAATGGCCTGTTGTAACGTTTTTACTTGCTAGCATTGTGCTTAGTTTGAGTGTAGTGACATTTGGAAATAGTAAGCTTAAGACTGAAAGATTTGATGATGAAGATTGTGGTTTTAGGTGTCATGGTGGTCCAAGAGGACCCAGAGGTGGACCATTTGGCAGCCGTGGGAGGTGGGGTGGACCAGGAGGTGGAAGATTTCATGGTCCAGGACATTTTGGTGGACCGAGGGACGACCCACGTTTTGGTGGTCCCGGTAGAGGAGGTGGGCTTGGTGGAGGTGGTGGTTTAGGTGGTGGTGGTGGAGGAGGTCTAGGTGGTGGCGGTGGAGGTGGTCTTGGTGGCGGTGGTGGTGCCGGAGGAGGCTTTGGTGGTGGCGCTGGAGGTGGTGCCGGTGGTGGTCTGGGCGGTGGCGGTGGTGCCGGAGGAGGTTTAGGTGGAGGTGGTGGAGGAGGATTAGGAGGCGGAGGTGGTCTAGGAGGAGGTTCTGGTGGAGGTCTAGGTGGTGGTGTCGGAGGAGGAGTAGGGGGCGGTGCTGGAGGTGGCCTTGGAGGTGGTGCAGGCGGTGGAGGTGGGGCAGGAGGAGGAGGTGGAGTCGGAGGTGGCTCGGGTGCTGGTGGAGGATTAGGAGGTGGTGCAGGTGGAGGATTAGGGGGTGGTGCCGGAGGAGGTGTTGGCGGGGGTGGTGGTGCTGGTGGAGGAGGGGGAGGTGGACTTGGTGGTGGTGTAGGTCATGGTGGAGGATTTGGAGCCGGTGGAGGAGTAGGAGGTGGTGCAGGAGGAGGTCTAGGTGGTGGAGCTGGAGGCGGTGGTGGTGCAGGTGGAGGAGGAGGTGGTGGACTTGGCGGTGGTTCGGGTCAAGGTGGAGGATTTGGAGCTGGTGGGGGCGTTGGAGGCGGTGCCGGAGGAGGTCTTGGAGGTGGTGGTGGAGCTGGAGGAGGAGGTGGTGGAGGTGTAGGTGGTGGATCGGGCCATGGTGGTGGGTTTGGTGCTGGAGGTGGTGTAGGAGGTGGAGCTGCTAGTGCAGGAGGTGGTGGTGGTGGTGGTGGAGGTGGCGGTGGAGGCGGAGGTGGTGGTCTTGGTGGTGGTTCAGGGCAAGGTGGTGGCTTTGGTGCTGGTGGAGGTGTTGGTAGTGGTGCAGGTGGAGGACTTGGAAGTGGTGCCGGCTTAGGTGGTGGTCATGGACTTGGTGGCGGAGGAGGAGTTGGCATCGGTGTTGGCATTGGTGTAGGAATCGGAGTTGGCGCCGGTGCTGGCAAAGGAGTAGGCACTGGTGTTGGTGTAGGTGGTGGAGGAAGACGCTAGATATGTTACAAACCCACATTTTAGTATCTTTTCAACATCACGTTTTGGACTCGGCATGTGGGTTTCAATTTGTTGAATTACATTATATTCTTTTGCAAAATTTATGTTGGGTATAAAAGTAAAAAAGATTAACCCAATTTATTTAATGAAAATTATAATCAAATTTCCCAATTGTAATCTCAGCCTCGTATACTATATGCTTATTAGTATTGCTAAATACAAGCATAAGCTTTCATTTCGTTTTTTCCAAAAAAAATGAACAAATTTGGTGCATAATTAATTCTTGCATAACATAATCCAACAAATGGAGTGTCAAATACCCATTTGTAAAGCTTCTGTTTTGACAGCTTGCAATCCAAACTGGGTTTAATGAGAAAGTGAGGGGAAAAAAAATGTGGATGAGCAACATTTAATTTTATGTGATAAAAACTTATACTATTATATATTTTTTTCCGTTTCATTAATATTGCAACAATTGGAATTTTACACTATTCATCACGTTTGTTTGGCCACATATTATGATTTATACGTAAAGTAAAATATAGTCACGTGGGATCTTGTTAGATTCGTCTTGTTAAATATTTTCACAATATCAACTTTTTATAATTTTTACTCTTATATAATTATAGATATTTAGCATACAAAATATGTTTTAAAATGTGTAATTCCATCTTTTTTGCAATATTCGTAGAACAGAAGAAGTAATTCATATCATATAATAAAGAAAAAGAAAGTAGATCTGATCCATAAACTGATTAAACTCATAAATGGAAGTAGGGTATAAAGCATAAATGAACCACTTGACCAAACAGTAGGATCTCTCTTTCAACATTCAAGTTGTAAATTAAATATCCCTCTCAATTTCTTTTCATTAACACTATCCAATTTTTTTAATGTTATTGTAGTATTTCTAGTGTTCCATGGAAAATTTTGCATTATTTATTGTTTGCGATATATAATAAGAATTTTTTTTTTATTTTTTATATTGCCGACTTTCTCTCCGGTTCTTAAAATTGAAAATCAAATTCCAAATTATATTCAACACGGAGTAGAATAAAAAGGAAAATAAAATAAAATAAAGACCACTTTGATGTCACCCTCCTATTTAAAAAACCCGTAAATAAAATAAAATAAACAAGTTGGAGAGAGGAGGAAAATTTGTTCCCCTACTAATCTTTAAATACACATATATTTAAAGTCTAAAGTAATTGTAATTTTAAATAATCCTTGGCAATTGTACTATCTAAGCCAAATAATAAGAATTTTTATTGAATAATATTCTTCATTTTAAGTATGTAGTATTTTGTTTATACGTTCCTTTCATATATATTTTCTGCCCCCGGTTTGATGACATATTTGTGACAAACAGCCTAAACCCAATGTGTGAAAGTGAAATTATTAGAAAAATGCTTAATGACAATGTATGCACCAACATAATTAAATTTATTACGATCTAATCTATAATTTTTAGAGTGCGGTAATATACTGCTAATGCTATCATGTAGGTGCCTAATACTCATTCTCATTAAAAAAAAAAAAAAAAAAAAAAAAAAAAAAAAAAAAAAAAAAAAAAGGTAATACTCATTCTAGTAGTAATGAGATCAATCTGCGTTAGGGATACTTTGAAGGTGTATAATCTTATATCCTTCCATTTGGCCTTTAAAGTACCTTGTCCACCTCCACTTATCCGTTGATCTACACGAGATTCGGATCTGATAGGACACTTTTTCCTTACTCCACATATTTTTTTCATGAATCCGCAAGTGAAGTTTGTCTTTCTCGAAACTCAAAAGCATTACTTTTGGTGAAGTAAAAGCAACAGCTAAGTAGCCATAGTAATTATCTTAGCTAAGTGCCTTAAGTCCTGATGTTGTGAATTTGTGATGTATATAATGGGCCTAATTTTTCAAGTCTTAACATAAACAAAGTATATTTTGTTAAATTTGACTGCTATTTTTTCTTGAATTAAACTGAAGATCTGAGCTGAAGTACTTTGTATGCAGATCTTGTTTAGTTGTTTTGGTCCCATTCAAAGACAAAGATTGGAAGTTTGGAGCCTTAACTCTACTTCAATAAGAGTAAAATTAATGTTGAGACTCTAGTAGGTAACACAGGAACACAAAACAAAAATCTGGGCAGCTTATAAAAATAAGAACTCAAGAATCTAAATGACATAAAACAGTACACAGAAAACCTTCAAGAGCCTAAACAAAACTTCCAGACTGACAAATCATTCTATTTCTTCTTTAGGGCAGCCTTGGTAACCTTGGCACCGGTTGGGTCCTTCTTCTCAACATTCTTGATGACACCAACGGCAACAGTCTGCCTCATGTCCCTCACGGCAAAACGACCAAGGGGTGGGTACTCTGCGAAAGTCTCCACCACCATAGGCTTGGTGGGAATCATCTTAACCATACCGGCATCACCATTCTTCAAGAACTTAGGCTCCTTCTCAATCTCCTTGCCTGAACGCCTGTCGATCTTGGTAACGAGCTCAGCAAACTTCACAGCAATGTGAGAAGTGTGGCAATCCAAAACTGGGGCATAACCGTTTCCAATCTGTCCAGGGTGGTTCATGATGATGACCTGGGCAGTGAAGTTGGCTGCTTCCTTGGCAGGGTCATTCTTGGAGTCAGAAGCAACGAAACCACGCTTGAGATCCTTGACGGCAACATTCTTCACATTGAAACCAACATTGTCACCAGGAAGAGCCTCTGGAAGAGACTCGTGGTGCATCTCAACTGACTTAACTTCAGTGGTCAGTCCAGTGGGACCAAAGGTAACAAGCATACCAGGCTTCAACACACCAGTCTCAACACGTCCCACTGGCACCGTTCCAATACCTCCAATCTTGTACACATCCTGAAGTGGAAGACGGAGGGGCTTGTCTGAGGGCCTCTTTGGCTCGTTGATCAAGTCAAGAGCCTCAAGAAGGGTTGGTCCCTTGTACCAGTCAAGGTTGGTGGACCTCTCAATCATGTTGTCACCCTCAAACCCAGAGATGGGAACGAATGGGATTTTGTCTGGGTTGTAACCAACCTTCTTGAGGTATGAGGAGACTTCCTTGACAATTTCTTCGTACCTACCCTTTGAGTACTTGGGGGTGGTGGCATCCATCTATATAGAAAAACAAGGCATGATCAGGATAGTGCAAATAATGAAACTAAAACAAACTCTAACAGAAATCAGAACGCATAATATACTGCATATCAATGAAAGAGTGTTAAATTATACCTTGTTACAACAACAGATCATTTGCTTGACACCAAGGGTGAAGGCAAGAAGAGCGTGCTCACGGGTCTGACCATCCTTGGAGATACCAGCCTCAAATCCTCCAGTGGTGGAGTCAATAATGAGGATAGCACAATCAGCCTGGGAGGTACCAGTAATCATGTTCTTGATAAAGTCACGATGTCCGGGGGCATCGATGACAGTACAGTAGTACTTGTTGGTCTCAAACTTCCACAAGGCAATATCAATAGTAATACCACGCTCACGCTCGGCCTTAAGTTTGTCGAGCACCCATGCGTACTTGAAGGACCTCTTGTTCATCTCAGCTGCTTCCTTCTCGAATCTCTCGATCACACGCTTGTCAATACCACCAAGCTTGTAGATCAAGTGACCAGTTGTGGTCGACTTTCCAGAGTCGACGTGGCCAATGACCACCAAACTGATATGAATCTTTTCCTTACCCATGATGAACTTTGTGAAGCTGCTTGCACAAACAAAATGAGTTAGGACCAAACCGTATTCAAAAGAACAACAACAAACGATCAACAACAAATGATGCATTACATGGGATTTTAATTTCAGTACGACATCGAACAGCTACAGAAGCATACAACAAACAACACATTTCATTGGATACTAATTTTTTATACACCAATGCATAACAAGTAAACATACCAATAAATTAGATTTAAGCTATCCAAGGCATCAATTAATGATCGCAAATATCAAATAAACATGTTGTTGAGCCTTTTGGTTTTGATGGACAAATTGACAAACTCGACTAATGAATGTTTTGAGTCTTTGGTGAATAAAGGATTCAAGCAAAGTTCGTTCCGGAGTAGGAACTTGGATGCGGAGTAGCATTCTCTAAAAAGCCTCGTGCAAATCTCACGTTCTAGTTTTAATTGTGAGCACTCAATATTATAAAGTCGGAAAGGAACTCAATGACTTATGTTAAAAAGACTACTGGAATAAAAGTTAGTTTTAAAAGATAATTTCTTAAAGAAAAGATAATTTGTAAAAGTTTTAATAAAGATAATTATCGAAGATAATTATCTAGTTGTTTTAATAAATAATAAATTTATCTTTTCAAATAAAATCTTTTTAAACAAACTTTTGATAATCTTTTTAAACAAATATTTGATAAGGATAGCAAGCGGTTTTTCTGTGTGAAAATCTTTATACGGCTAATGATTATCAAGTTGTTTAAGATAGTGGACTAATTAGATAAGGCTAGGAAACCTCTTCATGATTACCATCTGTCAAGATAACTCCACAAGTTGTTAGTGGGTTGTTGGCATGTGGACGTGATTATAGTGGAGGTTAATGACTAAGCCTTCTCTATAAATACTCATGCAAACTATCTCAGAAAGATATAACTCTTGAGCATAAAAATTCCGGTAGCCTTCTAATAACATAAAGAGAGTTATTATCCTTCTTATATTCTTGAGTGCAATAGGTATTTGTAATCACATATTGTATTCAAGTACTTAGGGGTTGGGATTGTGAGTTTGTAAAGTGAGGTCAAGGAAGCTTCGTTGCTGAAGGCTTCTGTGAGAGTTGGGAACAAGTTCCTAGTTTGTGGAACTTGTTAACGGGTTTGAATCTTCACTTGTAAAGAGTTTGATTACATAGTGGAAATTTAGAAAAGCCTATATCTTCTCTCGTCATTATTTCATTTAGTTAAATTCCGCAAAAGTTTTTAGATTTCACCTCAAATACAATTCACCCCCCCCTCTTGTATTAGCCAGTTAGACTTTCAGTTGGTATCAGAGCGGGAACTCAGAGCACGCAGGCAACCCTGTTGAGTAAGTTCCTGGGAAAATGGCTTACACAGAGGAAAAGGAATTCGGGAGTACATCCATTCAAAGGCCTCCATACTTCAACGGCAAATATTATCCTTATTGGAAGGATAAGATGGAAATCTTCATCCAAGCAGAGAATTATCAGGTATGGCGGATTATACAAGTAGGAGATTACGAAATTACGAAAACGAATGCTAACAATGAGGTAATCCCTAAACCTATGGATGAATATGAAAAAACTGATTTCGAAAAATTAGAAATGAATGCTACTGCCAAAAAGTTTCTAATTTGGGGACTTGGACCCGATGAACATACTCGTGTCAAAGGGTGCAAATCCGCAAAGGAAATTTGGGATCTTCTGGAAGTTACACATGAAGGAACGTCAGATGTTAAACGTTCCAAAATAGATATTCTTTTATCTCAGTATGAGCGCTTTGAAATGGGAAACAAAGAATCCATTAAAGACATGTTTACTCGATTTAAAAGTATTACTAACGAACTAACGTGTCTTGGTAAGATAATTCCTATAGATGAGCAGGTCAGAAAAGTCTTAAGAAGTCTTCCAGACAATGACAGATGGAGAGCAAAGGTTGCAGCGGTGCAGGAATCAAAAGACTTCACCAAGTTCAATCTGGAACAGCTTGCGGGTTCCCTCATTACTCACGAGATCCAGTCGAACAATCGGACTCAGGAGACTGTCAAAAGTCAAGGGCTAGCATTAAGAGCTAATGAAGAATCCGAAGAGAAGTCTGACATCGATGAAGAAGAAGCTGCAATGTTGGTGAGAAGGCTGAAAAAATTCTACCGTAACAACAAGTTTTTAGACAAGAAGAAAGGATACAGTAAAAGAAATCAGGAACCCAAAGCCAAGTCTTCTTGTCACAAATGTGGAAGCACCAACCACTTCATCAAAGAGTGTCCATTATGGGAATCTGAGAAAGGCAAGGGAAAAGAAGCTGATCAAAGCAGAAATTCCAAGCCTAACTTTTCTAAAACAAATTTCAGGAAAGCAATGATTTCCACGTGGGGAGAATCAAGTTCCGAAGAAGAGGAACAGGAACACACAGACGATGAAGTAGCCAATCTCTGTCTAATGGCAAAGCATGATGATGAGGTAGTCATTCAACCTAGTTATTTGAAATCTCTCTCAAAGGATAAATTAATCTCTTTATTGTTAGAAACCTTAGATGAATATAAAGAATTATGTGCAAAACTAAGGCAAGCCGAAAAGGCAACTGGAATTTGTAGAGATCATGTTAAGTATCTGAATAGCTTAAGAAATGATGTTCAAGGCAGATTCTTTGAATTGTTAGATAAAAATATTATGCTAAAAGAATCCCTTGAAAGAGTCAAGAGTGAGAATATCATGCTGAATATTGAATTGACTCAATATAAAATGTTGTGTACTAACATTGATTCTTGCAGGTCTACTGAAGTTCCTTTAATCATGTTTAATAATGAACTAGAGCATGTTAAGAAAGAGATAAAGGAAACCAATGATAAAAATGAGAAACTAGAAAAGGACCTAGAAATTGCAAGAAAAAGTAAAAATACAGCAAGCACGGGTGTTCCCAAGTGGGTAAAGGAAGCTCAGACAAAAAGAACAGAAGGTCTAGGCTATGTTCATAAGAAGAAGTCCACTGGAAAGAAAAAGAAATATGTGAACTTACCTAGTGAGACCGTTTGTTCTTTTTGTGGTAAAAAGGAACATCGCAGTGAAGAATGTACTAAGAAAGCAAATCTGTACAATAAGAATGTGAACTATGTTTGGCAGAAGAAATCTGATTTAAATGTGTCAACACAGGAACCCATGAATGAAAGGGTTCCTGCTACTAACCCTTAATTTCTTTTGCAGGTCGCAGTGAGGGGGAACAACCAGTGGTACCTCGATAGCGGTTGTTCTAAGCACATGACAGGAGATGAATCCAGATTTCTCTCACTGACGGCCTATACAGGGGGAACAGTGACCTTTGGAGACAATAAGAAAGGCAACATTGTTGCTGTTGGCAAAGTAGGAAGGTCAAGTTCCCATGCAATTGACAATGTATTTTTTCGAGGGTTTGAAGCATAATCTACTCAGTATATCTCAGCTTTGTGATAAAGGAAACTCTGTAAGCTTTTCTTTTGAAAAATGCAAAATCATCAACAATAACACTGGAAAAATCGTTTTGGAAGGAACTCGTAAAGGGAACACGTATACCGTGGATCTTAACAAAGTTCCAAAATACAATCTATCCTGTTTAAGTGTTATTGAGGATGATCCACTTCTATGGCATAGACGTTTTGGACATGTTAGTCTTTCATTGCTTGACAAATTAAGGTCAAAGGACTTGGTAATCGGATTACCTTCTATCAAATTCCTAAATGACAAAATTTGTGAAGCTTGCATCAAAGGAAAGCATGTTCGATCATCATTTAAATCAAAGAAAATGGTAAGCACCACAAAACCATTGGAACTCATTCATATGGATTTGTGTGGCCCCGTTAGAATTCAAAGTAGAAGTGGAAAAATATATGTCTTAGTTCTTGTGGATGATTATTCTAGATTTACATGGGTCATATTCTTACATAGTAAAGATGAAACTTTTGATATGTTTATGACTTTCTTGAAAAAGGGCTTAATTAGGCTAGATTTTATTTCTACTGAATGTCAAATTGCTGATATATTAACTAAGCCTTTAAGCAGAGACAAGTTTGAAAAGATGCGTGTGGAATTGGGGATGCTACGGCTAAAGTGATTTTTGTTTGGAACCCCTAAGGTAAAATCGGATGTAACTAACAATGCTATGCTCAATCTTGTGTGCATAACACAGCTGAAATTACCCAGGGAAAAGATTTGTGAAGTATTGAAAAGTCACTTATACATACTTTTAATATGTTAAAAATATTGAGCCATGTTGTTTCAAGTTCCCTTTTCATCATTCTTTATTCTCTGTATTATGATCACGTAAATTATCATCATAATTTACAATCCATTTGCACTTACCATTTTTTTATATTGTTAATTTGTTTTCCTTCCTATTATTATCTTTTTTGCCTTCCTTATTTTTTTTATCTTTTATTCTTATCTTTTATTCATATTTTTATCTTTTTTTTTCTTCCTTATTTTCCTTTGTTCAGTTCTGCTTTTATTTGTTACGTAAGATAAGAAGCATGTATATCAACTCCTTAACTTACGATTTTATTTTATCAACATTGAATTAGATGAGTGCAATTATTTCACCAAATTAAATCCTACTACCTCTAAAACTACTCCACTACCTCACCTTTTAAACCGTCATTTTTCTTTCTCACTCCTCCCAATTAAACTCTTCTTCTTCTTTTCACTCCACCTTCACCTATCAAATCAATTAAACTCCCCATAAACTCCCATAACCAGCCTCACTCTCTCTCCTTCCTATTCACACTATTCATCTTCTCCTTCCCTTCATTTTACCTTCAACACCATGAAAACCAACCGAAACACCACCCCAAAAACCCGATCACCACCATCCAAACCCTCCTCAAACACGGGGTCTCCACAACCGGTGCCAATTGCGATGGTGCATCCATCTGCTCAGCCAAAGAGGAAGGCTAAGGTTGTGAAGGGCGACGACAGGAAACGGCGCGCAACCACCAAATTCCCATCATGGAATTACACTCTCGGATATCACATCAACTATGATTGGTGTGTGGCGAGTAAGTTCACTGAATTTACTTCTTTAATTGATTATCAAAAATGGACTCACTTGTTCCAGAATTGTTCTCATTACCCTGTTTATCCTAAACTTATTTATGAGTTCAAAAATACCTTTCAATGTGATAATGGTGTGTGCTCGGCCGTAGTTAATGATATTCCAATTTCGATTGATGCCAATTATCTTGGAAATCTATTTCAAGTTCCTGTTAAAGGCTATTGTTCTTATTTAAAGCACAAACAATCTGTAAATATTGGCCATAATGATGAATGCAAAATCCTTCAATTTATTGGAGGAAATCCGAAAGTGAAAACTACTCACCATCATGCCCTAACACCCCTTCATAAGCTACTGTTTACCTTCACCTGGAAGGGTATAGTACCCCGTTTACAAAAACGGAGTACCGTATCACTCTTGGATGCCTCCCTCATATTCTGTCTTGCATGCAAAATACAGATTAATTTCCCTGCTCTAATGATTGAACACTTGAATTTTTATGCTCAAAAGACCACAATTCCATATGGCTCTTTCCTTACTGTGTTGGTCAAATCTTTTGGTATTGATGTTGAATGTGAATCCCCAACATATCTCAAACCCGATAATATCCTCTCTGAACAATCATTACTTAGACTGAGTCTTAGGCTTACAAATGGCAAAGTATGTTTTGTGCCTCGGAAAGGAGGGGAGAAAAAGAAAGGGAAAGGGAAAGAAGCTGAGGAAGAATGTGACGCAAGTGATGAGGAGGGCAGTGACCAGGGTAGTGAGGTTGCTAGTGAGGGTGCTACCACCTCCAGTGATTCTGAGGGAGATAAGGAAGAAGAAAAAAGTTCTAACGGAGAGAAAAACAAAGAAAAAATACTTGAGGGAGATGTGCAAGGAGAAAAACAGGAAGATTCTGAGGGGGAACATAAGGAAGTTTCTGAGGGGGAAGCTCGAAAATCTGACTCACATGAGGGGCAGGGAACTGATCAAAGTGAGGGGGAACATACCACAGACTCTGAGAGCACAGCTGGACCACCTGTCATTCCTGTGTTTACAGGGGGCCTTAGAAGAAGTAAGAGGAATGTGGTCAAGCCTGCCCTTTCTACTACACACCCTGTGACTGTAGAAACCATCAGCTCCTCAGACAAATCTGATCCCACCTTCAAACCTACCCAAGTCCCCTTTGCCATTGAACCCTCTTCTATTCCTGTCTCATCTACTAGGCAGCCTCCTCATTCACCTTCTCCTCCTCCATTTCAGCCTACTGGCTTTGCTGCTTTCTCTGGAACTCGTGTGTTTGTTTATGATTTTCAACAGGTTAAAGCAGATATGGAGAAGTTGACTACTCTGGTGAGCAAGAAACTGGAGGAAATGGCCTCGGAATTGCTTTCTCTTAAAGGCCAGGTGCAGGCTCTGGCAGAATCTCAAGCAACCGGATTTGCAGGCGTGGAGGCAAAGCTTGCACAGGCTGAAGGCAAGTTTAGTGAAGGCAACAAGGAGATCTTGGAAACTATCAACAAAGTAGCCTTTGAGGAAGTCGAGGAAGACTCTATTGATCCCACAAATCCAACCCTTGATCCTACCAATGCAGCCTCTTAAATCCTTGATTGCACTTATTCTAATTTCATATGTTGAACAATTTTATTTTGGTTTTGTTTAATCTCTCTGAACTTTGGTTTGTACGCCTTTATCCTTTGCTACATTCTCTATGTTCCTCTTCTATTTCCTAAATCGGAACTTGGCTCGTATTTTTCATATGATTGTGTGTGTTTGCTGATAATTTGGTACCTAACTTATTTTTGCCTTGCATTATTTGAGCTCACTATTCCCTACGTAGTCTAGTGGGAGTATAGCAAAATGTTTTTTTTCAATCTTTTGATAATGCCAAAAGGGGGAAAAGACAAACTTCATGGCGGCTAAAGTGTTTACCAAGGAACTCACACATCGAAGGTACAAACTTTTGCTAAGTTCAGTTTTTAAAGTCTTTGTTAATTTTTCTTTTGCTCAGTTTTTTTTTAAAAAAAAAAAAAAAAAAAAAAAAAAAAAAAAAAAAAAAAACTTTTTAATATTTTTCTAAGTTCTTTAATTGTTTTTTTTTTTTGTTTTCATGCCTTACTTTAAATTTTTGTTGCATGCCTGGATGATTTTATTTACCTAAGTTTGTCAATGTTTGTCATCATCAAAAAGGGGGAATTTGTTGAGCCTTTTGGTTTTGATGGACAAATTGACAAACTCGACTAATGAATGTTTTGAGTCTTTGGTGAATAAAGGATTCAAGCAAAGTTCGTTCCGGAGTAGGAACTTGGATGCGGAGTAGCATTCTCTAAAAAGCCTCGTGCAAATCTCACGTTCTAGTTTTAATTGTGAGCACTCAATATTATAAAGTCGGAAAGGAACTCAATGACTTATGTTAAAAAGACTACTGGAATAAAAGTTAGTTTTAAAAGATAATTTCTTAAAGAAAAGATAATTTGTAAAAGTTTTAATAAAGATAATTATCGAAGATAATTATCTAGTTGTTTTAATAAATAATAAATTTATCTTTTCAAATAAAATCTTTTTAAACAAACTTTTGATAATCTTTTTAAACAAATATTTGATAAGGATAGCAAGCGGTTTTTCTGTGTGAAAATCTTTATACGGCTAATGATTATCAAGTTGTTTAAGATAGTGGACTAATTAGATAAGGCTAGGAAACCTCTTCATGATTACCATCTGTCAAGATAACTCCACAAGTTGTTAGTGGGTTGTTGGCATGTGGACGTGATTATAGTGGAGGTTAATGACTAAGCCTTCTCTATAAATACTCATGCAAACTATCTCAGAAAGATATAACTCTTGAGCATAAAAATTCCAGTAGCCTTCTAATAACATAAAGAGAGTTATTATCCTTCTTATATTCTTGAGTGCAATAGGTATTTGTAATCACATATTGTATTCAAGTACTTAGGGGTTGGGATTGTGAGTTTGTAAAGTGAGGTCAAGGAAGCTTCGTTGCTGAAGGCTTCTGTGAGAGTTGGGAACAAGTTCCTAGTTTGTGGAACTTGTTAACGGGTTTGAATCTTCACTTGTAAAGAGTTTGATTACATAGTGGAAATTTAGAAAAGCCTATATCTTCTCTCGTCATTATTTCATTTAGTTAAATTCCGCAAAAGTTTTTAGATTTCACCTCAAATACAATTCACCCCCCCTCTTGTATTAGCCAGTTAGACTTTCACATGTCAAACTAAGATGCATCTCTAGCACACAACAGATTCAATGTTCACCACACTAGCTCTGTAATTCAAATTCATGCAATAGTTTCTCAGCTCGCCAAAACCCCCTCAAATTCAACAGTACACTAAACTATTATAAATCAATATATAACAAGCATAAAACAATAATAACACCATATATTAACTTAATTTTGGATTGAAAAATGATTCAAAATTGACAGAAAACAAATTAAGATGAACATTTTTCACAAAAGTAATCAACAGAGTAGCAGATCTGAGTAGCAAAATCCTAAACAAATATAATCAAAGTAACAACCAAATCAACAAACACAATCTAAATGTAAGATAACAACACCATGCAGCTCAAGTCTAGTATAAATTCAAGCATAAAATTGAATTCAATCCCACAACTTGACCAAAATAAATCATCAATTTATCAAATTAAATCGAATACACACATAAACAAAATCAAACAGCTCAAATCTAACTTCAAATTCAATAAAAAAAAAAATAAACTTACTCACAAATTAACAAAAAAATAAAATACAAAAATCATCAAAATAAAATAAAATAAACAGGAATTGAATCTGTGCATGCAAGATTATTAACAACAACTGAAGAAATTAGAATGAATTTTGGAAATTAGGAGAGAGAAAGACGAACCAAGCAGAAGATGAGCAGAAACCCTAGCCGCGGTGGAATGAGAATGAGAATGAGAGTGAAGCAAATTGAGCAAAGAGGGTTTGCAGAGAGAGGCGGGTTTTGGTTTTTATATCAGAGGGAAAATTTTGCAAAGGAATAGAGTAGGTCAACTTGTATTTGACCAAATTGTCCTTTGCTTTTAGGTTGAATTTACCAAATTATCCTTGTGAAATTTTTTGATTTGACAAATGGGATGATAAGATTAGGAATGGTCTTTTATTATTATTATTATTATTATTATTATTATTTTATGGAAATTGAAAAATAATTGAGGATGGTCTTTTATTTGTTTATTTATGAGAAAAGATTGAAGATTGTGTATAATTGAGTAAACTAGGGTAGTACTCTTGTGATATAGGATGAAGATAATTGCAAATTTACTTGTTAATAGAAAAATTAAATATAAGGATTTTAGTTATTATAATCTTTGGATCACTATTTTTTTTTAAAAAAAAATCGCATTACTTACTTATGTGCAAAATCATTTTTTTATGGATTCTGAAATACATTTTTTTAATAACATTTGATTTAATTTCAATTGACAATCTCATTTTAATATTGTATAATCAATTCAAAGTTGTAAATTATTTTTTTCATTTATATTAGTATATAAACAATTATTTTTTATAATTTAACTAATTTAAAATTATACTCATTATTTTGCTATATCTTAATTCTAAATTTTATTGTAATCCTTTATTTAATTTAAGATTTTGTATATTTCTTATTGTAGACATCTACTTTTGGTCCCCTGTCCCGACCAAAAGTGCTATGACGATAAATAATTCCATCTTTGTGTTGGATTGGAGTGAAAAATGCTTATGGACTACTAATTAAAGCCTAAACACATAAACCAACTAGCTTGTCCCAAAACGAAATGAACCAAAGCTTGTTAATACTAAGCCCGATCAGCAATTAGGCCTAATCCCAATGTCAAACCTAATTTTGATGGATTTAGAAACGCCTAGGTTAAAATCTAGGGCTGGCGCAGAAAAACCGCGCGCAACTCAAGGAGTCGCGCTGACCTGGCGCGCGCAACTCACAAGGTTGTGCGTGACACCCAACGAAACCTCTAGTGATGCGCTTGCGGAAGATTCAGAATTTCATAAAAATACTGAATCGAATCTTACCATAAAGCCACGCTCCAAGATCATAGGTTACGCTGCCAAGTACAGCGCGGCTTAATCACTTGCGCGCAGCAGCTGCGCGCAACCTATTGAGTTGCGCGCGCCACTTGCTACGGCAGAATGTTCAAAACCCTAAACTCACCCATTCCCTATAAATAGAGGTTCAATACAAGCTTTGAAACACACAGAAACAACCTAAAAAGTCAACATAAACTTTGTGAAATTATGCACTAATCATCCCTCTTGTCCTAAACACTCACCCTTTAATTGTTTGTTCTTACGGTGGAGGTTCCCGAACATCTAGCAAGGAAAAGTGGTAAATTCCCGAGCACTTAGATAAATCACCTTTCTTTTCTTGCTTAAACAACTTTTAATCAATTAATTAGTGTTGTTTGATCACCTTAAATAAACTTTAATTAATTAATTTCACATAGTGATTAGGGGATTTTTATCCACCAATCAGCATCCGACACGTGGGCCAGCCAGGTTTCGCCACGTGTCCTTCATGTAGGCCAATAGGAGCCTGCCACGTGTCATCAAGAGATTCGTCCTCCTTGGACCAATTGCAATGTGACACGTGTCCACCCATGCCAAATGGGAAAACCGGCCAACAAGGCCCAATCATTGTGGGAGGCCCAGTCAGCCTTAGGTTTAACCTAAACCTAGTACTGGCACACATCCCAAGGCATATAAATATGCCCATTAATCCTCATTAAGGGGGATTACGCACATTTAATACTCTCACCTAGAGAGACCCAATTACTTTTATTTCCGCATTAATTACTCCTTAATCAAGTACTAACTTGATCGTCGGAGGCGGATCTCCAATCGTTCGGAGCATCCGTTTGTTTTGCAGGTACAGGCGTCCGGTTCCAGTCTCAGAATTGTAACTCTCCCGTAGGACATCAGAAAACCCCAAAACACATAGTATTCTTGCGTTAATCAAGACTAGAATGGTACCTACCGTCTGGAAACACCAGACGGCCAACCGTTGCCTCGAACCTGGAATGTAGATAATCTTAAGAAATATTTCTTTTGAATGATGTAAATAGTCAAGGGCTACTTAATAAAAGTTTGCTGTTTCATTAAATTTTGTACTAAGAGGGGCATGCCTACTGACAAACAGTCGGCTACTCTCCATGTTTAATTTTCATTCTTACTTAAGAGGGGCACGCCGCTTGTTCCACACAACCGACTACTCTCCCATAACACAGTTCACCAAGAACTATCAAAGGCTCATGGCTGAAATGATCAGACCAGGCGCCAAGCCAACTGATCCAAATATAAGTTTAATTCGACCTGTCCCAACATTATAGCAGGCATCCGACGACATCCATCCGGATGAAATTTGTCGCAGAGAGCAGCTCCCTTTTGGGTGGAACATTGTTCTATAAAATCATTACACGGCACCTATACGACTGTCTAACCAAGACAACCACGTAGCCGTTTCCCGGACAAGGATACCTCTCACTTAACTGACTAATCAGGTCAAACAAGTGTTCGCAGTAACCATCCGTGTCAACCAACCGACTGAACTACTTGGGATAAGAACAGTCGGTATCTTATGAGTTAATAGCCAACAAACATTGGCGAATAAAGGGGAACAACCGGTACCCACCGCTTGAAACCTCTACTACTCAGTCACTCGGCGACTAGGTAACAATCATGTTTACTTGGTCACTCCTTAAAAATTTAGTATGAAACTAAAAAGGTGTTCATACAGCGCCTGTTCACACTAGATTAAATGTGGTGGGGAACAGTCGGCCTGGACCGACTAGAGTCTCTAGCCTAAAAAAAACAAACAAGGCAGGTAGGAAACCACCTTCCTACTTGGTTGAAGGGGATCCAGTCTTTAAAGTGGCCGACTGATCGCTTAGCCTGGAAACAGACACCCAGTCGTCCAGGGGCATAGGTGGCGTGACTAACTACCTCGTACCTGTCCGCAACTATCGGCCATGCAAAACAGTCGGTATAGTATGCAATTGGATATCAGAGTTTCGATACTTAGCAAAGTCGAAACAAATTCGAAACGAAACAAATTCGAAACATTTTGGCAAAAAGGCGACCTAAAATAATGGTCGCCTGAGTTATATTAACAGCCGGCCAGAAGGGCCGGCATAAATATTCATACCCCCGGCCCCTTGGCCGGGTAAAAGATACAAAAAGAAGCCGGTCATTAAGACCGGCAAAATATTCAAAACCCCGGCCCCCTGGCCGGGTAAACAGAAACAAACGGCACGCAGGCCATAAAAAGAAGACATAAAGCTTAAGAAGGGGGCAGATCTTCAATAATAGCAGCTGCCGCCTGGACAGCACTCTTTTTGCTGGACTCGGCTTCAGCTGCATCCTTCTTTAATGCATCCACCCCAAGAGGCACAAGCGCCACTACCGGCTCCTTCTCCTCCAACGCCTCGTCCTCGGCAGCCGCCAGGATCTCTTGATTATATCTATCAGAACACTGGCGGTACGTTTTTTCCCATGAGGAAAAGTCGGCATTGAGGAGGAGCCGGTCCCAGGTCAGGCGCTGGATCTGAGCAGAGTCTTCCATCATCTCTCGGACCAGCTCCTTATTTTCTTGCTCGGCCTTTGCCGAGAGCTCCTGAGTAAGACTCTTCTCCTGGGTCACCAGGCGTTCCTTAACGTGTGCCAAGGATTTCTCCAAGGTGTCGTATGAGGACATTTTTTGGCGAAGAGGTCTCAGCTCGGCCTTGAGATTGTTGATGGTCGCCTCCAGCTCATTATTTTTCTTCTGGGCCGCCTCCAACTGAGCCCGGATAGTAGAAGTAGCCTGCGCCTGATAATAAATAATATCAGTTGTCAAAATCTCATTTTGGGCAATTTGAAACATTGCCTTATCACAGTCAGAGGCGGCCATAGCTTTTGCAGCCTTTACCTCTTTGTTCTTCCTGTTAAGCGGCTTGCGAATGCCGTTCACTCGGAGCAGGGCCTAAGTAAAAGGGAACAGGCGTCAGTTTTCAAACAAAAAACAGGCGTCCTCGAATTTAAATAACCAAAGATATGCTAAGTATACCTCAGCAAGGACCCCTGCAATCCCGTCTAGGTCAAGGGTGCCGACACCCCTGACCGCCTCCCTCTCAGCCGGAGGGACGGCTTTGATCATAGACTTGGCCACCTCGACCAAGTCTGGCTCCTGAGGGCCGGCTGCATCAAGCATAAACAAACGGGTTAGACCTAGTAAAGAAGGGAGCAAGTCTAAATTCACAAGGACAGCTTCATACTTCTAGGCGGCCTGATTGGAGTTTTAGAAGGAGTGGACGGCTGTTTCTCAGCCGCCGCATGTTTCCTGGCAGTACCAGGAGAGCTCGCAACAGTTGTCTTCCGGGTCTTGGAGTCCGGCTGTTGGGAAGAAGAGGTTCTTCGAGTGCCCGTCTAAAAAAAAAAAAAACAGAGAGAGTGAAAGGTTCGGAGCTCACCAAGGGCGCCCCCTTGTTGGGGGAGTCGGTTGAAGATTGTTGCATAATAGAGGCTCGCAACATGGCCGCCGTAGTCTTGGAAGCGGTGATCTTGCTCATGGCGTCCGCTACAAAGACAAGATACCAAGTTAATAAAAAGATAAACAGTAACTCATGGCAAAAAAGAGTATTCGACAGGCCGGCTACCTCTTGAACACCTACTGCTAAGGCCACAGGAGGCCAGAAAGTACTCGTCATAGAGCCATTTGAAGCTCGGGACGCAGTGCAGGGGTACTTGCTCTCGTACCCCTGTAGTAGAGTCGACCCTCGACTCTACTTTAAAGAGTCCTTTATCCAGGATCTCTTTCTTGGCTTTGGGGGGAACATGCGGCATGCTGCGGCCGCCTGCAAGAAGAGGCGGATTCCTGTTCCACCTGTTGAAGCGCTTGTTCAGCTCTGTGTCTGAACTTTCAATGATAAGGAAGGTGCTTCGCCAATCCTTCCACTTGTTTACTTTACCTCTTGTCATGAGGTAGCATCTGTGGCTCGTCAATTGATACCAGCCGGTACCGCCTGCCTTAGGGGTCCGGCTGAGGTAGTTCATGGGGGCGAAAGCCTCGAAGTTTGGCTCCACCCCGTGCAGTTCGCATCCGGCCACATAGTCGAGTACGTTGACCCAGGAGTTTGGGGCTAACTGCCATAACCCCAACTCATACCCATCCAAGATCCGCTGAACAACCGGATGTAGTGGGAAGCGCAGCCCAGCCCTGATGGCCGCCTCGTAGCAGCCAAAGCAGGCGCTATCATAACTAGTACCAGCCGGCCAGACGACTGTGTCTTCTGGATCCGGCACGAAAACTAAAAAGTCGGGGCCCATTGTGTGGTTCGCAATAAAGCTCCCCACTCTCTCTTGCATGGCCGTGATCCGGCCCCGTGGGACAATGCAGTAGTAAGGGGTATTTTGCTCTCGGTAAGAGGCGGATGGCTCCGCCTAATTGTCCCCCTTCTCAACTGCGTGAGAAAGTCTCGCCTCTTGTAGGCGGTTGTTTTTCTCTTCCGTTTCCAGAGAAGCATGACCAGAAGAGCTAGACTCGGATTCGTCCTCTGACGAGTCCGAAGAGGACGACTCCTCCCCTCTCCCAGAGGGGCCCGCCTTCTCTCCTTCAAAAGGAGTAGGAGAGAATGTAGACATGTCAACTGTAAAATGGGAAGGGGTCACCTTGACCCCTCCCTCAGAACTGTCGGCTGTCAAGCCGCCTTGGTTCACTTCCACATCTGGCGCCTGGTCAGATGTCTCACTAATCGGCACCCTGTGGGAGGAGCCGTCTGAGTTCGAGATCCTAGCAGTTCTTTTTGTTCTGGCCATCATGTTTTGCATAGACACAGAGACAGTCGGACTTTGTATAAAGGGCAAAGATGGGTCCGGAAAAGGGCAGGCGGCACTCCTAGTCCTAGATTCAGCCGTCCCCGGTGACCGGTTGATCACTAACCTAGGTCGGGTCGTGTGCTTCCGTGGTGCCATTTCAAAAAAGAATAAAATAAAGAGAAAATTAAGAGTAAGAGAACCGACGGTTACCTGAACGAGTGAAGTTGACGGAGTTCTGAAAATCCTGAGTAGCCGGCTTGTCAGAGCAGGCGGTAGGCAGAAAGAGTCTGGAATGTCAGAGCAAGTTCAGGGGTCCGAATGTTCTCTCTAAAAAGTTCTCAAGTGTGAAAATGTCTGAAGTCAACACACCCTTATATAGGCAAAGTGAGAAGGCGAAGGGTCACTTCTAAAATTCAAAATTTGGGCGGGAGAATCTCTCGGCCTTTCACCGAGTGACACCTGTAGCAGGCCGTCGCTTGTCACGGTGTGACACCTGTCATAGGTAACATGTGACCAGTCACGTGCCACCTGTGAGGGGCAAATGATTAGGGGATTTTTATCCACCAATCAGCATCCGACACGTGGGCCAGCCAGGTTTCGCCACGTGTCCTTCATGTAGGCCAATAGGAGCCTGCCACGTGTCATCAAGAGATTCGTCCTCCTTGGACCAATTGCAATGTGACACGTGTCCACCCATGCCAAATGGGAAAACCGGCCAACAAGGCCCAATCATTGTGGGAGGCCCAGTCAGCCTTAGGTTTAACCTAAACCTAGTACTAGCACGCATCCCAAGGCATATAAATATGCCCATTAATCCTCATTAAGGGGGATTACGCACATTTAACACTCTCACCTAGAGAGACCCAATTACTTTTATTTCCGCATTAATTACTCCTTAATCAAGTACTAACTTGATCGTCGGAGGCGGATCTCCAATCGTCCGGAGCATCCGTTTGTTTTGCAGGTACAGGCGTCCGGTTCCAGTCTCAGAATTGTAACTCTCCCGCAGGACATCAGAAAACCCCAAAACACATAGTATTCTTGCGTTAATCAAGACTAGAATTTGAATAATTAATTGATTGTTTTATCACCTAAGCTAAGGCGAATCTTGTTTATTTTGTTCCTTTCACGAATTTGAATTAAATAAGAATAACGACATTCGTTGCAATGTAATCCTTATGTGATTAACGTGTGTAAATAAAATCAACTAACTTAGTTTTAGGTATCACGTTGCATATATTGTTTGATAATGAAATTGTGAAGAAGGAAGAGCTAGTAGAGGCCGCACTTGGGCTAGAATAGCGATTCCTCCCTAAAAGGAACGTTATTTTAGTACCCTCGCTCCCGAACTCGTTTCTGGTACAAGTAGACCGATTTGGGCATCGGTAAACTTATGATTCATGTTAAATATCCCTTAAACCCTACTTGGGAGAAAGGCATGAACGAGGTTTATGAGTTTTCCTAAAACTCATTGGCGACTCCTTATTAGTTTCTTACAAAAAAGCGTAATGATAGGATCAACTCTAATTCAAGGTCCCCCAAACAGTCAGGAATTCAAATCCTAACACACCTTAAAAAAGTGTAAAGTCCTAGGGTTTAAAGGGCCATGGGCATAGAGGAGAAGGATCCCCTACGATGGGCACACCCTCCTCACATTTATGAATCTCATTCGTAGGATATTTGGATAAAACTCATTATATCATAAGATATTTTTTTTCATTACTTAGTGTAAACACTAAAGTTATCTTCCGTTGTTTTATTTATATACTACATGGCACTTGAATTTAAAATCTCAAATCGTATTCGTTGTTTTTGCTTATGTGGCGATTGAAATTTTTAATTCTAAAATAAATTACAAATCACTTTCATTATTGGTTGAAATAAGTTCTTTACATGACGCCCCGAATGCTCTTCAAAAATGCCTCCTTTATTTATATACTAGTTTTGTGCCCGAGCGATGCCCAAATGGTTGATAAAAGTTTATGATAAACTTTTTAGATTGAAGGTTAAATACGGTCATATATATAATCCTTTTTGATAATGCAGGATATTTAGACATACTGAACTGAAATTAAATTTTATTGAACTAAAAGTATATTTACCAAAACTAAAATTATTTTTCCTGATTAAAACTTATTTTCACGGTTTATCTATTATTTTTGTAAATATATTATAAATGGATCTTATTTTAAAGAACTTTTTAAAACGAATTTTATTATTGAAATAGTACCAAGTTATAAGATATTTATTAAAATTTATGATTAATTTTGTATGAAATATTATAAGTATATTGATAATAAAACTCTATACAACAATTTTATCTTAAAAATCTATCCAAAAATCGCTTAATTAGCGTCATATGTGTCACAATAATACCTATTTATCTCATACGTGGCGCGACACTTGGCGAAAAACTGGAATGCCAAGTGTCGCTATCTCGTGGCCTGGCTGCGAGACCGGCTTTATTTATTAGTGATATGATATGATATTAGATTTTAAATTCCAAATGTATGATAATCATAAGTCATAAGGAAGATTTTACAAATTTCTATGCATAATGCTCATAAAAAAATGTTGTAAAAAAAAATTAACTGAGTATAGATGAAGTTAAATATAATGAGTATATATATACTCATAATTAAGATTACAAAGTATTAATTAAATAAGCAAAATCAAATGAAAGAGTTTGGAAAAGTGTTGCAATATAAATTGCATTAAACGTACATGGAAAATAGTAAAATCATAAGTACATGTATTTTGGAAGGTTAAAGTGAATATAAAATCATTTAGATTGGAAAAATAAGAATTAAGGAAAAGTTGTCGTGTAGATAATGATGATTCAGCAACTTTTGTTTAAAGATAGTTATATATTTTGGTTAGCTCGTTTAATGAATAACCTCCAAGGTTGGTGCCTGGAAAATAAAAAGATGTGGGGTATTAATTGGAGAAATATCTCTAAGGAGTTGAGCAGGACGGGGGAAGGGATAGACTCGTTACAGAAAGGAGAGTCTTTTTTTCAACCAGGTCAACTCTTTTATCCCTAATTGCAAACTCAACTTTGGTTATTGGAAGCAAAGAATGAAAACCAGCTGGATCAAATATGGGGATTACCCTACTCAGTTAATGTATAGGAGAGTTAAACAACAACAAATACAAAAGGAGATTTTAACTTTAAGGAGAGGCGAAGAGGAATGGGTGGAAGGGTATGCAGAAGTGGAAAAACTGGTTTCTAACTCGATGAAAGGAGTCTTTTCTCCGACAAGAGAGGACAATCACGACGAAAATATTGATCTTCTTCTCCGACAATTACATATTCCGCCTATTTCCAGGGAAAGTCAGGAGTGGCTTGACAAACCTTTTACTTACCAGGAGATCAAGTAGGCTATGTTTGATATGCATGGCTCGAAATCTCCAGGTTCAGACGGGTTTAATGCAAACTTTTTCAAAATCTTTTGGAATGAGGTGGGTCAACTGGTGGTGGACAGTGTTCAACAATTTCTACGGTCTGGGAACTTGCTCAAAGAATGGAATCAATCACTTCTTGTTCTTATCCCGAAAGTTAAGAATCCAGAAACTGCTGAGCACTTCAGACCTATAAGTCTTTGTAATACCATTTACAAATGCATCTCAAAGTGCCTGGCGAATAGACTGAAAGCAGTGCTTCCTGATATCATTTCTGATAGCCAACATACCTTCATCCCGGGTAGATACATGGAAGACAACATTCTCCTGAGTCACGAACTCATGCATCTCGTAAATTCACAAAAGAGATTGGATTTATTAGCAGTCAAGATTGACATGTCTAAAGCATACGACAGGGTCGATTGAGCCTTCCTTACGAAAATTCTCAGGCTATATGGATTCTCGAACCACTGGTTAAGAATGCTATCACAGTGTGTCTCGACAGTGAGCTACAAGACAGTCATAAATAGACATACCTCTACCCACTTTTCCCCCGAATGTGGATTAAGGCAGGGGGACCCCATCTCCCCCTACCTTTTTCTCTTCTGTATGGATATTCTATCCAGAATGCTTACCCTAGCTGAATAAGCAGATTAAAGGTTTGAAGGTTTCGAGGAGATCTCCGGCCATTTCCCACCTTTTCTTTGCTGATGATGCCATGCTTTTCTTCAAGGCATCAGAGGAATCTTGTTTGTGTGTAAGGGACATCCTTCACAGGTTTAGCAGAGCTTCGGGACAGTGTTTGAGTCTCCAAAAATCGTTTGTTAAATTCTCCCCGAGGGTGCCACTTGAGATTAGAGATTCCATGAAAAGGATTTTGTCTATGTCTGAGACACAAAATATGGGAACACACTTAGGAGCTCCAATTGATATTCAGGGTAAGAAAAAACTCTCTTTTCAATTCCTAGTTGATAAAGTGAGGGAAAAGATTGTTTCTTGGGCCTCTTTACGTCTTTCACAAGCAGCAAAACTTATCCTCATCAATACTATCTTGGTTAGCATTTCGACTCACATCATGAAATGTCTTAAGCTTCCCCAGAGCATAGCAAACAAAATTGACTCACTTATTACCAAGTTCTGGTGGGCGAATAATGGGGAGAAGGGAATGCATTGGGTTAAGAAGGAGGTAATCCAACTTCCGAAGAGTATGGGGGGTCTTGGCATTCGGTGTATTTCAAAACTCAATGATGCTTTACTCTTCAAACAAGCTACCAGAATGCATTTGAACCCTCAACTCCTTGTTTCAAGAGTGCACAATAGCTTCCAACCTTGTGGAATTTGTAACATCTCAAGGTTTAAAAGGGTGGGAAACCCATCTATGCGAAGGCTTGGGTTACAGAAAGTAGTAACTTCTTTCAAGGAAGGTTTTGCATGGAAAGTTGGAAATGGGGAAAGTATAAGGGCAATCAGTATTCCCAGGGTGAAAAGGAAGATCCCTACAGTTAACTCAAATCAAACGATTGGGGCTTCGATAAGATGGATGGTTAGCGACTTTATTAAGCGGGATATCGTGTCTTGGGACCCGGGTAAGGTTAGACAATGGTTCGACTGGGAAAGTTCTAAGCACATTTTATCCATGAAACTGCTGGCGGAACCAATGGATGATTACCTATATTGGAAGTTTCACCCGTCCGGAAGATTTAGTGTTAAGACTGGCTATTATTTTCTGTCTAAAGATCAATTGTCCACTTACCTATCGTTCTCCGCCACAGATGAAGATTTTGCAAAACTCATCTGGAAGTTGGATATTCAACCCAAGTGGAAGATCTTTCTCTGGAAACTCCTCCATAACGGCATAGCAGTAAAGGTAAACCTGGCCAATAGAGGTATTTCATTATACTACTTGCGATGTTTGTTATGAGGAGATGGAAGATAGCCATCATTTGTTTCGATACTGTTCTCTAGCAAAGGCAGTTTGGGATAGTAGTTCCCTGACGGTTTGCTATGATCTCCCTGGACTCCACTCTTTTCAAAGTTGGATCCAACACTTTATCCTGCTCTTTTATAGCAAGGATGGTAAACATAGTAATCGTATTACCAAGTTTATTGCTACTCTTTGGGGTATATGGACAGCCAGAAATGGGAAGGTCTTTCAGGATTGTGGGATTACTTTTGCATCTGTCAAGGAATTGGTCAACATAGCTATTAAGGATCACGAGTCTTTCATGAAGGATGTAAGGAATGAGTGTACAAGTGTAACAGAGGAGTGCATCGACCCCATTCTCCCGCCGGTGTTCAACCTTGTCCAATTAGGAAGACAGAAGACCGATTTTGCCAAATTGGTTCTACAGGTTGATGGTTCATGGGAGAAAGCTTCTACTAGAGCGGGAATAGGATGGGTTGCTTCGGGTCCAGTTTTATTTAGCAGAAATAGGGGAGGAGGCAAATTTGGGACGGCTTCGTCAGCGCTATAGTGCGAGACTTGGGCTTGTCTCGAAGCACTAAAATGGACTGAAAGCCAAGGTTATGAGGAAGTCCTCATACTCTCAGATTCTGCCTTGCTGCTGGAGAACCTTAAGGATAGCCGAGGACACGACATTTCGATCGCTTGGATGCTTGATGAAATTAGATCAGTGGCAGCTTTTTTCAGGAAATGTTCGGTTATTAAGATCATGAGAGATCAAGTGCAATTGGCTAATGATATTGCAAAGAATTTCCGTAGCACCCTCTCTAATTTAATTTTGTAGCTGTTTTATTTTTCCTTTGCCATTGTCAAAAAAAAAAAAAAAATTCCCGGAGTTAGGAATGGAATGGTGTTAATGACGAGATTAACATGTATCTAAATGGATGCCACGAAGAGTGATTTGGGAATAAATTTTCTAAATAAAAATAAGTAACGAGTAAAATATTAACAATTAATAGATTTGGTGGAGTTGAAGTATTCAAATCGATGGTTGTTGAGTTGGTGGTCTTGATCTACGATTGTTTGTAATTATATATAATGAATGGTAATTATTATGAATATTTTTTGTATTAATCAGGCATTATAGACTATAAAATAGGTAGTGAGATCTTAGTCAATAACATCAAATATATAGTTAGTATGAGTTATGTATGCTTAAAAATGATCTTGACTGGATTAGGAATAGTAAAATGTAGTTGTTTCTAATGAATATTGCTCAAGTATAGGTTTAATAATAAATTAAAAAAAAAATATCTATGTAATTTAGTAAACAAATTTGTATTAACTATGTTTCATTTTGTCTAGAAAAGATGAGCAAACACTAGTAGAAAAAATGAAATAGGCACCGCAGTTTTCGCACCGATTTTTGAAAACCGGTGTTAAAAAAATAGGCGGGATTGGGAAATAGACTTTTCGCACCGGTTCCAACCAAACCGGTGCGAAACTATCTTTTTCGCACAGGTTCAAACCGGTGCGAATTAAAAAAGAAGAGGAAAAAAAAGGGGAAAGAGATTTCGCACCGGTTCAAACCAAACCGGTGCGAAATAATGTATTGGCACCGATTCAAAACGGTGCGAAATAAAAAAAAATAAATAAAAAAATCAATATTCTACTTTCTTTCTTTCCCCCTGCTATTTTCATTATTTCTGTTTTCCCTCGTTTTTTCGCTCTTCTCTTCCACCACCTCTGAAGTTTCACCTTTCTCCATTGAAGAGTTTCTGAGCTTTCTCACCTCCATTGAAGCAACTGCACCTCCTTCTCTCTCCATATCTTTCCTCCATTGAAGCTCGTGCTCTTTATTCTCCATTGAAGCGGATTCTGAGCTTTCTCACCTCCATTGAAGCAGCTTCAAGGTAAGATTTTTTTGTGGTCTTTTTAAACTATCGAATTCCTTCGCAATCTAGGGTTTGTCGTTGATTTGCTTTTCAGTTTAGTAATTTTAGGGTTCTTGTAATCTAGGGTTTGTCATTGAAGCGCGCACGACTCCACCTCAACCACAACGGCCTTCTTGTCACGGCGGCACGGCCTCGAACAGTAGATCTGGTGTCTGGTGAGCTTGCCTTTCCGGTTTCCTTTACTTATTGTGCATTGAGTTATTGTCTTGTTGTGAGCTTGCAAATTTTTTATGGGTATTTCTTGTTTTAGTGGTTGGGCTGCGGTGGTATTTGGTGGATGAATTGCGGGTTGTGAGGGAGCAGGAGAGTTTGGTGAGGTGTGGCAGGTGTGGACGTGTGCTGTGGGTTGGATTGGTTAATTGGTGAATGGTGAAGCAGGGGCTGCTGATTTTGTTCGGTGAGTGTGGCTGCAACAGCCTGGTGGAGCAACTGTTACGCTTGGCGGCAATTGGTGGAGCTGGCAGCATGCTTATGAATGGGCATTTAGCATTTGACTCAAATTGGAACCCAAACTCACTTGCCATGAAACCCGAACCCCTACACACAAAACCGAGGAAAGGAATTGAGACAAATAAAATAAAATAAATAATAAAATGAAACTAAATTTGCAAAGCCATAAATTTTTTTTAATTTGACAGACATGATAGATTGATACTTTGATAGTTCATACTTACTAACTTTTGTTTTTTGTTTTTGTTTTTTTTTTATAGATTCATATGTGAATTAAAGTACAAGTTTCTCTTGAAGACTACATATTTAGCTCAAGTGGGAAGTTAGAAAGAATACATCCATTGTACTTGCTATATTGGTATGAATTATAAACTTCTCTAAGCTACATTTCTTTCTCTTTATTCATTTAATAAAAGTTTTTTTCATGCTATTACAACTTGTGTATTGTTTAGTGACAAATAAATACAACAATATATAAAATGCTTGCATCATCATATGCCTAGATACCCGTTCAAGGCTTCCAAATTAGGAGAAAGTCTTGAATAGTCCCCGGTTGGGACTGTTCTTGAACGTTTACTCTCACTTAGCTGGTGAATGTATGTCTTTTTTTTCGATTTTAAGGAACATCTTGGCTTACCATTTCCTCACTCTTTTCTCTGGGTACATATGTGGGTATGTAATTACCTACATCGTGTACTTGGAGAACTGGGAGGAAATGCTGCCGGATTTTCCTTAAAATTGGAAAGTCGACATACATTCACTAGTGAGATTACACGTTCAAGGATGGGTTAGGTTGGAGTGATAAGGACCCTTTGGAAGCATATATGCATTTTTTTATCTATATGAATGTTATATGCATGGTGTGTGTTTGAATTTGACTTACATATATAATATATGTAGCAATTATACATTATTCGTAATATGTTGCTATGTTTAGAGACAATTTACTTAATGGAGAAGGATCGTGGTTGGATGTATGGTAGACGTGATACATTGGAATTCTTTGATGGGGTTCAAGAGTTTTGCGAGAGGGCTTCATCTTATCAGCGCAGAATGGGTGTCGATTGCCTCTATTGTCCTTGTGTTGATTATAATATTCTGAAGGTGGTCAATAGTGTTGAAATCATTAGAGATCATGTAATTTGTCGTGGGTTTAGGCTTAAATACCACGTGTGGATTTGGCACGGTGAAGAAGGAGAGTACAGTGGGGATGTTGATGGGAATGATGTGCATGAAGGAAATAGGCATCCTAGTAGTCATATAGGCCTTATTTGGGCCATTTTGGATGAAAATGCGTCCTAACCCTTGAATTGCACTTTTCATGAGATTTCAAGCCTTAGCCGCCTATAGCTAAGTAATAATAACATGTAATGAATAAGAATGAGTTGATTTGATAAGATATGTAGGAAATAGGCATCCTAGTAGTCAAATCGCCTTATTTAGGCCATTTTGGATGAAAATGCGTCCTAAAATCCTAGAATTGCACTTTTCATGTGATTTCAAGCCTTAGCCGCCTATAACTATGTAATAATGACATGTTATGAGTAAGAATGAGTTGATTTGACAAGAAATGTAGGAAATAAGCATCCTAGTAGTCATGTAGGCCTTATTTGGGCCATTTTGGATGAAAATGCGTCCTAAAACCCTTGAATTGCTCTTTTAATGTGATTTCAAGCCTTAGCCGCCTATAACTAAGTAATATTGACATGTTATGAGAAAGAATGAGTTAATTTGATAAGAAATGTAGAATATAGGCGAAGCAGTAGTCATATAGGCCTAAGTAATAAATTTTTGCCTAACTGAACTTGTAAATGTATTTTTACATGCATAACCTAAGTAATTAATTCTAACATCATTTTTGTTTATTCAAGTTTTGCAAGGTACAAAAGGGAGGTCCGTTGACAAGCAAGGAACTTAATGAAGTTCGAGACATGTTGGCGTCTTTCATCACATTTAATTTGTAAATGTCATTTCTATTTGAATTTGTATTTTGTTAACTTTTTAACTGCATTATTAATTAGTATTGTTTGTAAATATGACACTTCTATTTTTTTTTTTTTTGAGGAATTGTAAATATGACACTTCATTGTATTGCATTTGGGATAGATTATTAATTAATATCTATGTAATGTTGTTATTTTTTTCAATTTAGAAATTATTATTATTAATATTATAATAATAATAATAATAATAATAATTATTATTATTATTATATATAATAATGGTAGAATTAATGTAGGACGTACAAGTTTTTAATTATTATTATTATTAGTATTAATATTATTATTTATTGCCAAAAAAAAAAAACACACACACACAGTTATTGGCACCGGTTAACCGGTGCTAAATGGGGGTTTTGAACCGGTGTTGATTACCCTTTTTCGCCTAGTGAAAATGGAAAAAAATAACATAAAAGACAAACATTACAAAATTTCTGTGAATTATAATTAACATAAGAAAAGAAAAATGAGAAGACAAAAATGATTTCATCGCAGCCATGAAAATTCGATCCACTGACCAACTAACCATTCCCTTCTAATCATATTGCTGCTTTGAACTAGATAGGATTGATTCAATGTAATTGATAAGCATTCATTATATTTATACTATATATTTAAAGCCTTTATTTAATTGGAGGTCCTCCCCAATTTGGGGCCCTGTGCTATGGGGTTGTTTGCACATGCCCATAGCCAGCCTTGAGTGAGGGTGAGTAGCTTCATGGGTGTTCTTAGTAAATTCTTTTTGACGCTTAATTGAACAACTTAATATAGCAGCAAACTTAGGATTATTATCATTAGATGCAAGCCTTGAGTTCATTGTTGAGTGTATATAAGGGCGCATGATGTTAATAATTTTAGTCACTATCTAAAGTAGGGGTTGATTGTTAAATAGTTATTAATAAGCATGTATTGGACTTTCAATTAATGGTGAATTTAATCTAAGATATGTGTTTAGAGGTATATTGATAAGTTCCTTAAAAAAGTGGTCCCATTTTATTGAGAGGTCAAACATTAGCCCCACAGTAAAATGCAAGGCAAGTCATATTGTTGTCATATGCCGCTAATCCCCTAGTCCTTAGCACGCGCGCACACTAACTTCCTTCCCCAAGGATGCTAGTCAAATCAAAGCTAAAACCCAATGTTTTCTTAAACCTAAGTGTGCAACG